CCACTAACTACAATCCTTAGGCACTGTATACATTAACAATGATGTTCCACACACACAAATAAATGCATGCTTTGAATATTCTTCTTGAGAGTTTTGATTATTTTTTGGATGACTTTATTTGGACCTGAATGGATCAGTCCGGTTTTAACATTGTAAGAAGCTAATGGAGAGTAGCATTCCCTTTTCTTTCTTTTTTGTCCATCTCTTTCTCCTTCTCCTCCTCTTTTCTCCATCTCTATTTCCCTCCCATACCGCTCCATCTCCTCCATCTCCATTTCCTCCAACTCATGTCCATCTGCTCCATCTCATCTCCATCTCTGCCATCTCCATCTCTTCCATCTCCACTATCTCCATCATTCCATATCCCCTATTCCGCAATTTTTGCCATCTCGTCTCTATCACCTCCATCTTTTCCATCTCCATCTCTGTCTTCATTTCCTCCTTCTCATCTCTGCCTCCATCTCCATCATCTCCATCTCCTTTATCTCCATCTCCATCATCTCCAAATTTTCCATCTCCATCTCTGTCTCTTCCATCTCCATCTCTTCCACCATCTCCTCCATCTCCTCCATATTCATCTCCTCTTTCACTATATCCTCCATCTCCATATCTATCTTCATCTCTATCTCCATCTCCTCCATTCCTTCATCTCCAACATCTCCCTTTCCTCCATATTCATACATACCTCTCTATCTTTATCTCCTCCATCTCCATCTCTTCCATCTCCATCTCTTGTATCTCCATCATCTCCATCTCTATCTCCATCTCCTTCATCGCCATTGCTATCTCCATCTTCTCTGTCTCTTTCATTTCCATTTCCTTTACTATCATTTCCATCTCCATTTCCTCCATTCCTCTATCTCCATTTTCTTCATTTCATCTCATCTCTATCTCCATCTCCTTTATCTCCATTGCTGTCTCCATCTTCTCCATCTCAGTCTCTTCCATCTCCTTTCCCTTTATCTCCTCTGTCTCCATCACCATCTCCTCCATTCCTCTCTCTCCATTTTCTTCATTTCATTCTCATCTCTATCTCCATCTCTTCCATCTCATCTCTATCTCTACTTAATCTCTATCTCTTGTTTCTCTTCCCTCTCATTCCCTTTTTCTTTAATTTCTGTTCCCATCTCTTTTCTTCCTCTGTTCTCTTTTTACCATTTTCCATGTTCTGTTTCTTGTTGGGGACTCACAATGTAGCCTAAGCTGCCCTTGAACTCCCCATGTAACCTAGGGTAGTTTCAAACTTACCATATTCCTGCATCAACAGGAATTTCCATTTCTGGATTACAGGCGTAATCATACCAGCACACCTTGCCTACCCATTGTTGCTTGCACTGGCAACTTTGTAGAGGACTCTTTATAATGATCAGCTGATCTAAAGTTTATAAGTTAATAAGTTTATAATTAAGTTTATTATTTGTATGTTTAATGAAGTTTATAATTTAATATGCACCATCTCTTTGGGACACACCTGCCTGAAGTAAGGGTCCTGGTGAGGGTGTTTCTGGTTGCCTTCCTCGACTTTCGGTCCCCGACTCCCATCATGTGCTGTGTGGATCCAGTGTAGACAGTGACATCAACATACAGTTTTCTCATTTTAATGACTAAAGGTCACATATTGACATTGCCTTTCCTATACCATACCATTTTATGCAGTTTCTAGAGTGAGCTAAGCATGCTGTTGCCCTTCCTCACCTGGAAAATGGAGCTCTCTAGATCTTGGTCACATTGCATGCACTGGGAAAGACAGCCCTGGGAGAAAGTTGTCTGTGACTTGGAGGCTGGACTATCCCAATTCCCAGCACTCAGAAGCTGCTCGGGGATCGGAGGATGGCAGTAGCAGCCAGCTTCGAGGTTGCCTCTGAAAAGTTGACTGTTTCAGCGTTTTGGGAGTGAGCTCATGGGAAATCTGATGAAAGTCATGGCTTCTTTGCTTAACAACAATAACAACAAAAGCACAAACAAATTTTCCATTCAATTCCAGAGGAATTCAGCGATCCTTTGAAGCCCAGGATGAAGAGCCTGTTTAGAAGTGAAAAAGGCAAGTTAGGTTTGCAAGGCCCTCTCCATCTCAGAACTCCCCTTCCCTGATGCCTCCCTGTGTTTCAGACCATGCCTATTGAAGAGGTAGGAAAGGGCATGAACTTTGATTCCAGGTATTCAGGAGTGGGACTCCACTCACTCCTTTGCAAGTAGTAAAGCTCATGTGGGCAATTCCTTACGCTGTAAAGTGGGTTATGACAATCCATACCTTGCGATGTTCCCCTCTGTTTGCCCTGTTCCAGCTTTATTAGCTTGCTTGCCTGTTTCTCTGATGTCTTTCCAGCATCAGAGCCTTTGTGTTTTTCTGTATGTTCAGCCTGATATGTCCATCACCTTCATGTGTATGAGTTAGCTTTCTGTTACTGCAACAAACATCTGAGCTGATAATCAACAAAGAAAAGGTTTCAGCTCATGATCTGTTGACGTTGGTAGTGAGGCAGCATGTCTTCACAGGGGCTTGTGGTGGAACACATCTGTTCTCTTCATGGCCAGAAGGGCAAACAGCAAGCAAGAGGAGGTGGCCGGGTCCCACAGTACTTTGAGGACATGCCTCCAAAGACTGAAGATCTCCAGCAATCCCTGCTGCTGAAGTTCCCACCGTGCCTACAGTGTTATGATGGAAACTAAGCTTTGATGTGAACCTTTGAGGGACCACCCAGGTCCAAGCTATGGCATCTCATGACCAGCCCATCTCTGCTCACTCAAGTCTCACCTCTTCATAAAATGTCCTGGTATCTCTCCCCATCCCTCTAATTTTTGTCTGAGTCACTAAGTCAAATGAAGCGCTAACTACCACCCCCCTCTCCTCCAAAAACTTTATCTGTTAGTAGTCAGCTCCCACTCCCTCTCTCCCACATAGCCTCTGGCAACTATGATTTTACTTTCTCTTTATGGATTTGGCTGTTCTAAACATTTGCTGTAAACAAAACTATATAACTCAGGCCTTTTGTTTGCTTTCTTTCACTGTTCTTAAGGTTCTCAAGTTTCATTCATGTTGGGGCTGGTGTCAAGGCTCTATTTTTCCTCTTCATGGCTGAGTAATATTCCATTTCCTATACTGCATTCTGCTTATTGGCTGATGGACATTTGGGCTGTTTCTACTTTTGGCTGTTGTTATGGTGCCTGACTATTGGCTGCATTGTTCTTTGTTTGTTTATTTCAGCTCTTGCTTATTTTTATTTAACATACTTATTTTTATTTCTCTCCCCATAGAATGTAAGCTCCAGGAAGGCCACGACCTCCTTCAGCTTGTGCAGTGCCATATCCCCAGGGCCTCATGTCATGCATGGTACACTGTAGACAATAAATATCTTTTGAATGAACAAATGTGTGCAAGCTGTTGTTATTCTCCTTTCTCTTAATGGATTCCACCCTGTCCTCTAACCCCTGCAGGACTATTACTGACCTAGGTCTCTTTCCCTTTAGACTTCTCCCTGGCTGTGTTTCTTACCATAGCCTACCACCCCAACCACTTTCATCATGCAGCGTCTCTGTTGCTCTAGTACAGACTCAAGATTGAACTTGAGCAAACAGTTGGCACATGGTCAGAGCTTCCAGAAACTCTTCCCACATGCCCACCTCTGGGGTCTTTAGTATCTGGATTCAGATGAATATAGAAAGTTCCATCATGTTGCTGTGTGCCTTTAGCTGTGAACATCACTGCCAGGATGACTTCAGCAGAGAGGCTCTGCTGAGCTCCCAGGAGTCTGTGCGGACCCCTCCAAAGCAATCTATCTCATGTGATGTAGATCCTGAGAGTGCATTTGGATCAGAATGTCTGGGTGTATCCCCTAAAACATGGCTTGCAGGTGTGTACCTCTTCCTGGCCCAAGAGGAGATCAATATGAAGATGTTCATCGAAGAGTTGGTCCCTGGGATGTTCGTAATTACAGAGATGCATCCACTGGTTTTCACAGAACACCTCTATGCTTGTAGTTGGCACTCACTGTGGCTGGTTGGTTCCTCCATCTTACTAGGCTTGTAGATGGAGACAGCCATTCCTGCAGGTAGGTAGATGCGGGACTGAGGAGGCTGGAGAACTTTGTTGTGTTTGCGAGACATGGAATCAACTGTCAGCTCCATGTGATGTACAAAAGGGGAAACAGAAGAAGGGTCAAGAAGACCAAATATGTGAAAGAATTTACATGCAAATAACACTCCAGTACTACATACATTTAAGGGTACTTGCATGTCTATAAACCCACATATCATGGAAGGTAAATAAAGAAGGGAGGTGTGTTGGTAGGTCTGACCATAGGGTGTGACATCTGTCTGACAGTTGTCTCTGTTCTAAGCTTACATCTTGTTATGAAGGTCATTGATATTAGCTAAACTGTGTTTCCATCCTCTTAAAATAAGTAAAAAGAAAAGATGGCTAAAGTTTTTGTGCTATACACTGGCTATGTGGCCTTGAACAGGTTAACTCACCACCCTGAGCCTTGGTTTATTCTTCTGTAAAGGAGCAATACTCCTTGGAAGCCTACAGGAAGGTCTATATTCTTTTGCTTAGGTAAGGGAAGCCATTACTTTACACATTACCCTAGTGATTCACTTCTTTACTAACATTTAGGCCATGGCTAAGCAAGAAGTGTATCTGTGTTAAGCATAGAGAACTCAGCCTCTGGGGTGGAGCCACATTGCATGGACTCATCATCTGTCCCCTTCAGCAGCACCATCGGGCCAGTGAGCCACAAGTGACTGTGTAACCTCTGACCTCCTCAGTAGCTCCATTTGGTGGATGACCTTGCCAGTGAACAGTGTAGAGTGACAGTGTAACCTCTGCTCAAAGTCAATGTATTTATTACTTCTTTGTTTTCTTCTGCTCTATTCCTAACTGGAACAGTGGCTCTTTGGAAGGGATGGCTTTGTCTTTTGTGCAATCTGGGTGGAGTTGAGCACATGGCAGGTTCTCACTGCCATATTGTGAATGAGCAGAGTTCTGTTTTTTGTTTCTCCAGGGCCCTTGCGGATGTCATGAGGCCACAGGGCCACTGCAGCCCTGGCCACACGGAGAGAGATCTTAACATTGTCGTCCACGTGCAGCACTATGAGAACGTGGACACACGAGCCCCCGTAAATAACCTCCGTAAGTACAGGCGCACTGGCCATTTCCAGCTCTGTGGGAGCATGCCATGGCTAACATGGGGGCAGATTCCCTAGGCTGCTCAAAGATGAGGGAAAAGATTGCTTTGCTCTGTGTAATGCTGAGTTTGGCACTGGAAGAATTGACTTGGTTGTTTTCTCTGTAAAATAGTGATCCATTGAGTTGGTTCTTCTGTTAATTACTGATGACTTGATTGCTTCATCATTGCTGATCTATTAATTTGGTGGTCATGTTGGATACTTACTTAAACAATGGGTTGTTTTATTGGTTGGATTTAGGTTGTTAATTTGTTTATTTAATAATCTTTCTCATTGGTTCATGTTGGGTTGTGTTAGCTATCAGTTCATCTTGAGTGAATCATTGGTTAACCAATAGCCCATTGTTTTATTTGCCTTCTGAGGTTGATTAGTCGTTACTTTTAGGTTTTATGTTTCTTTCAACAAACATCAAATTTTATTTTTAAAAACATGAAATGAGCTTAACAAAAAGACCTATATCATACTCAACTCTGCTGTGTGTGTGTGTGTGTGTGTGTGTGTGTGTGTGTACAGGCTTCTTTTGCTGTTATGTTTCAGTAGCTGTTCTTGCTGGGACAGTGTGTCCTTGGGGATCCTGGTTTATTTCCACAGGTTTTCTTTCCTTCCAAAGGTCTGCACAACACACAACGGAGCTGATGCTCCAGTTAGGAGTTGAGGAACAATGAGGTTGTTTGTATTTCACAAGTGCACATTATTTCGTTGGTCATTCCCAGAAAACATGTTTTCAGATCAAAGCAATGTGAAAATCATGATTGAAAGCAGCAGAGACAGGCAGTTGGAAGGGTGCATCAAACCACAGTTGGAGGCTCCCAAAGGCAGCCGAAGCATTGGAATCATTGCTACTTTCCCAGAAAGCATATCCTTTGCTGAAACTCCCCACCACTGCAAAGCTTGTTCGTTTGCTGAGTCATAGTTTCAGACTGTTACATTGCAAATTTTACAATTGGTGGGTAAGGAAGAGGTCTTTGACATAGATGGTATGACTTCTCTGATTTTATATGATGATAATTTTTCATGGTCTTGGAAATTTTGGAAGCGTATTGGCAATGACAGTATCTGATATTGACATGGGTAGGAAAATGGGCCACCCAACAGGATGTTTCAGTTTCTTTATATTAAACAATTATATACAAGTTATCTGTGAATGGGATCATAAAATGGTATCAGAGATCAACACACAGCAGCACAAATACACAAGCATTTTCTTTTGGAACATGTATGCCCACACCCTGCAGACCCTGAAGAGAAATGTGGCAGCCATGGCACGGCAGTTCTGTATCTGGCTTAAACAGACGTGAACACCTGCTCTTTCCAAGTTTGACAAATGTGGACCCCAAATGGCATGAACCAATGAAGGCCATCAAAGCAAAGATGTGGTGTGGAGTTTTTGGCTGTGGAGGCTGCTGGCTAAAGTCTCTGTCCCGAGATGATTTTGAACCACACTGAAGTTGTTCACTGAACAGCAAGCTTACCCAGCTTTCATCACCACACAGGCAAAAGGTCAGAGAAGGAGTGCTAATTAATCTTGCTTAAATAAGGACTTTTGTTTAAAGTTATGCTGAAGATAAGTGACTGCTCAAGATGGATGTCCAAGGACTGAATAATTCAAGTGTCTCTATCAGAGGCCACTTTGCTGTGTGTATGAGTCTTCTTTGGGTCTATACTTGTGCCTTGATGATTGATGTTTTTTAATACTAAGGGTGGGATCTAGGCTGTGTTTGGGTAGGATGGCATTATATTACTGACTCACATTCCCAGTCTTTCTCTTTCTCTTTCTTTCTTTCTTTCTTTCTTTCTTTCTTTCTTTCTTTCTTTCTTTCTTTCTTTCTTTCT